CCGTTCGATTTCTATCTTAAGAGAGAATTTGGTGCACAGATTCTCACCAATAAGTGTCCGTTACTGTTAACTGAACAGTCATTTCTAACTGAGAACTGTTGGATTAGTAAACAGCTCTAGCGTATAAATGTAGGCTTTATTCATTTCTTAACGAACCACGTTGTGACAAACTCACTAACATATAGCTGTCACCACATGCACACAGTATGACGTTGAAGTCTTCTAGCCTCTTCCGACTTACTCGACAAGTCGCGTGCTCATTTTTTTGGACCGTGGAGAATAGTGATTGTATTTTGTGCGCACTACAACGCAGTCTTGTTTCACCATCAGTTCTACTCCCTTGACGTCCTGGAAAGTACTGGTTACCGACTGAGACATGCATTTAACATCAAGCGTTTTCCAGGCCTATTATCACAAACACAATTAGGGTGATGTTCAGTGAAGGGCCTCACGAGCTCGAGATAGCTCAGTTGTTAAAGCACGAACTCACTGCCCGGAAATTTCATGGTTCGAACCCAACCTCTGCATCTTTACTGGTGCTGTTTATGACTTGGCAACCTGGCAATATCTTAGCCCTCCTGTGTGTGTCATGGCAGCTACGCACCGGAAGGCTGTTACAGCTGATCGACTATTATTGTACTAAAGCCTTCACCATTGCCGTAAATATTGAGCCTACATATTTCCCAAAAGCAATTAAGGATACCATTCTGTTAAACCACTCAAATGTGCAAAGATCTGCGACAAATCGTCACTAACTCGTAAAGCGACAGATACCTAGCAGTGAATCTATGATCACTTATGATTCTGTTAGCGAAAGGTTAGGAAGGGCTTACTTAGTTGTCTGTACCTAGTGGCCATCATACTCAGATCGAGTTCAACGAGCTAGACCGTGTGCAATACTAACAACAACAAAACTAATCACGCCGACAGTAAGTTACTTCTGACGATTGAGTTTCGCGTGAGACTGAGAGAACGAACAATCCCGGTGGAATAGCAGCACTGCCCGCTTCCCACCAAACAGATTATTCAAGGATAGTAAGACAGTTTTTCTCACCTTTCCCGAGGATAACTGTCCAATGCATTCAGAAATATCCATCTGATCAGGTAAGGATTTATAATTGTGAAAATGAGTCGAAGTGGTTAGATATGCCTAAAAAACAACATTTATATCTATAGTTTTCTGACTTGGGCTCAGCATGAAATAAAAGTTTAACTTGCTTGAACTAAAAAGTGCTCCTTTTTATTGCCCCTCAGTTGGTTGTGTGTCTCTGTTTAGTGTGAATGTACACGGGATTTGAGTGAAAAAACTTATTTTCAGTCGTTCGGGAAAACAATTTTGCTGAATTCCTGCTTCATACATTGCCATAAAAGCTCATTGGAACTTTATACCATTAATCCTGTAAGTGGTCCCGAGTGGTTATCGTTAACCATGCGTTCCTTCCTCGTGCATTGCGTCATACTACCCTGTTCCGCAGTCTGTCGGGAGAGCGTAGTTTCTTCCGTAATCAGGCGTAAAATGCATCTGCAAATATTGATTTTGCCTCGGTTTTGCCTCTTGGCAGAAATAAAGTATTGCAAAAAAACTTCCGGAGTAGACAATTAGCCTAATGACCTCATCGAGCGAATGAAAATAACGTCCCAGTCGTGCGCACCATTTGCATGCCACGGGCGTATACAAGACTGGACTATATTGATTAATTCAGGCGTATTCAAGTGTGCTTTTGCTGGTGTTATATCGAAACTGAACCTTTGGCTGTTTGCTTATGGTGGAAGTGAAATTCTTCCACTCTTTTTTGTAGTTTCCTGGGCTTCTAAGATGTCACTCACAGTAGTGCATAGTGGTCTGACACCATTGTAAAATCAGTGCGTTCCAAGTCAACAACTAGAAGCTTTCAGTTCTCCCTGTCTACGTACATTTTTGTGGATTTAATATATCGGAGCTATGTTACAAAATCATACTTAGTGTGACCTAATGTGGCTTGATACGGTACACCATCCGATGGAATAAAGTAACAGTTTGAGTAGGTCATCCTATGATGCCTGCCTGACGTAACGCAAGAAAGTTAACATAGATCTGTGCCTAGCACCCTAGTGAGATTACTATATTGCAAACGTAACTTACATCACCAAACGCGATCACTCGTTGCTGATCGTAAGGACTCCTATAATAGCCTATTCAAATTTAGTATGTATGAGTGGTATAGGGCTAGCTGACATTTTTGTGGTTCCAAGTCATTTTTTCTTTTCTAACTTCGAATAACTTGGCAGTATGTCAGCTCGCATGTTTCTTATGAATTCCGAGGTGTATTACAAGAGAGCAGCCTGGTGTGACAGGTATAGTGTGCGTAGTCCCACATTGCTACTCGATACCACACTCCACCTTTACAAGTCAACAGATTTGTCCGCTTTTTCGACTACATTCACAGTCGACTTTGTCATAGTATCATCCACATTCGCTCATAAATGTGCTCAGTTGTATGATTTTGGTTCAGAAAATGGCACCGATAATCTCATCAGTTCGTTTCAATTCAAATTACCAGCCATTTGCGCATTTCAAATGTGAAAACTCAGGTTCACCCAACATGCACTGACCTGGTAGTGATAGTAAGCATGCCACGCCTACCGCGCCTTGAAGAGCATTCACCATTGTTTGTCCTTTCTTTGGTTGTTGGTCTTTAGGCGCGTGTTTCCATACCAAAATCTTTACATACTTTGGGATTCACCTCATCAGACTGGAACTGTTCTTGGCATTATTTCGAATGAGACTTTTCTCTCTTTTCTCCCATATTCTCCTGTTACTCTTTCGCATTCATCGCTTGCATTCACTTTTTATGTTTGTGACCATGCTCTTCAAAAATGAATGATAATTCTAGTAAAATTCCAGGCCGATCAACGACTGTGCTGATGAACGCTAAATGAAGCAAAACTCAGACACAGTGCTGTCCGATTTCGGCGTAAACTAACCAGAATGACCGCCCAAAAATGAGAGTAGATTGCTCAAAAGACTTTATGAGTCCCGCAACTACTGAGATGTGATCGGTTCTTGCCCGAGACCCATTGTCTTTCAGAGCTCTCGTTGCATGACCCTGAATTTCAAAATCCATCAATAAATCCACCTCAGTAACATGACACAAATAATTTACAAGGGATGACACACTCATTTGAATTAAACTGGATGGATTTTTGATAGGCCCATAAAGGAATGTCCAGCAGCCAAACATAGCTGAACACAGCTGAACGAACGCCGAGGCGAGGCCTGGGAAAACACTTGATTGGGTTAAGCTACTCTTGCGTGGGAATGCAGTTGGGAACTTGAATGCATTTCAGCTAACGTTAACTATACACCACGACGTATTCACGAATAGTAAATGGCAAACAGTGGTAAAAGAAAACGGTTTTTAGTTGACAAAATATCTTTTTTCTCTTTTTGTTCCAGTTCATTGGGGGGGGATATATTTTCGCAGGAAAACAGTGTGATCAGTCTCCTTAGGAACCTTCCTCCGAGGGCACAAATACACCTTCATTAGTTCCACTTCGTTGGATTCGTATACAAATCAGCACGTGACTTGTGAATATGCTTACATTTCTTGCTCTGCTTTTCGAAACCTGAGCCCACACAAGGCCAAGTACTGAAAGTTTTTATTTTAAAGTAGTCAAGCCTGATTTAATTGGGGAAACACAACAATATCGGTTGTATGATGTATTCCAGTGCGGAGGTCTTACAATTCGACTCTTCCTAACCAACATTAAATATCTTGTTCCTGGTCAGCCGGCTTAATCAGATCAATTGCTTCAGTGGAGCAATGTCGCTGGAACAACGAGCATTTAACTAATCAACTGAGTATAGCGGACACTCTAGTAAAATTCCAGGCCGATCAACGACTGTGCTGATGAACGCTAAATGAAGCAAAACTCAGACACAGTGCTGTCCGATTTCGGCGTAAACTAACCAGAATGACCGCCCAAAAATGAGAGTAGATTGCTCAAAAGACTTTATGAGTCCCGCAACTACTGAGATGTGATCGGTTCTTGCCCGAGACCCATTGTCTTTCAGAGCTCTCGTTGCATGACCCTGAATTTCAAAATCCATCAATAAATCCACCTCAGTAACATGACACAAATAATTTACAAGGGATGACACACTCATTTGAATTAAACTGGATGGATTTTTGATAGGCCCATAAAGGAATGTCCAGCAGCCAAACATAGCTGAACACAGCTGAACGAACGCCGAGGCGAGGCCTGGGAAAACACTTGATTGGGTTAAGCTACTCTTGCGTGGGAATGCAGTTGGGAACTTGAATGCATTTCAGCTAACGTTAACTATACACCACGACGTATTCACGAATAGTAAATGGCAAACAGTGGTAAAAGAAAACGGTTTTTAGTTGACAAAATATCTTTTTTCTCTTTTTGTTCCAGTTCATTGGGGGGGAATATATTTTCGCAGGAAAACAGTGTGATCAGTCTCCTTAGGAACCTTCCTCCGAGGGCACAAATACACCTTCATTAGTTCCACTTCGTTGGATTCGTATACAAATCAGCACGTGACTTGTGAATATGCTTACATTTCTTGCTCTGCTTTTCGAAACCTGAGCCCACACAAGGCCAAGTACTGAAAGTTTTTATTTTAAAGTAGTCAAGCCTGATTTAATTGGGGAAACACAACAATATCGGTTTTATGATGTATTCCAGTGCGGAGGTCTTACAATTCGACTCTTCCTAACCAACATTAAATATCTTGTTCCTGGTCAGCCGGCTTAATCAGATCAATTGCTTCAGTGGAGCAATGTCGCTGGAACAACGAGCATTTAACTAATCAACTGAGTATAGCGGACACTCAACAGTTCTGTTCTAACGTACTTCCCCTGACAGTACATCGAGTTCCAGGCAACAAGTTAGATGGAGATCGACATGAAGAGCGGAATTCATCATATTTTGTGCAGTAAAAGCCAGAGAACGAAAGCTTTGCAGACAAATTCCAAACTATCGGTACTCACCTTCTAAAAGTTCCTCCCAACGGTTATTCAGTGAATGGCTGGGAAATAATCCAGAAGTTATTTGCAAATCTGTGGTTTCCGAGAACCGTGTTCAACGGTTATCTATTGCAAATTCCGATGGGTATGGAAAGCGTATCTCCTCAAATCGTCACTAGGTCAAGCAAAATCCGGGAACAATGGGTTCTTCATTTGAGTTTGACCATTTCATGAGAAAGGACGACACATATCTCTCTGTCACTGGTTGCTTGCCTTGGTATGTGTATGAACAGGCACGCCAGTGTGTCTGTAGACCTCTACCTATATGCTTTCGTTCACGTCGGACAATACCTGCGCAAAGGTTAAGTGTGAATCTTTTCACCCTGCCAAAACACGTCCAACATTTCGTCTACGGACCAGGACGTGTGCACGGCTCAGGCCAGAGACCAAAGGCAACGGCTATCCTGCGCTGTCTGTGTACGGAATTAAGGTTCAGGAGCCAGACGTAGCGCACATGCGCGAATGCACGCCCGCACACACATGCACACGCGCGAGTAAACTACCATAGGGCCGAACGAAAACCGCACAGTCTGACGGACAAACGGAAGCGAGCCGTGGTAGTCTTGGATGGCGGCACCTGTTCAGGACAGTTGATTGGCTGCTGCGATGGTTAGGCCAAGAGTAGCGCGTGCCGGCCGGCCAGGCACTTGGACCCAGGCGATGCAACTGTCAACTTGTTTCACTGTTTCCCAGCAGTTTCACAGTGAAATGATTCGGTGCTCTCTCAAAATGAACAATAACAGATGATGTACACATCTTTCCATCATTCACGCAGTTATCACGAGGACCTTTCTTACAAACAAGAAACAAACCTGAAACGGAATGCGCACATTCGCAAGCCAATTTAGTTCTGTTAAGAGACTTAGCCGAATCCCAGCTGAATCCCTCCAGGATGTTCTTCAAATGAATGTGCTGCACAAAATCAGCTTTGTGCTTCAGTTTGTACGATAGATGAAACGTTTCTTGAAAGGAAACTAAGCATAAGACGACTGACAACTTTTCAACAGCCCACGTCGGATTTCGTCCTTCTCGGTGAAAGCATGAGGCGGCGGCACAGTCAGCTGGAGAATATCATAAGCGAGCGAATCAGCTTGGAGTCACACAAACCTCTCCATTGAAGACGAATTCGTGTGCAAATCAGTGTGTTTCGCGATTTTCGTACAATGTGGGTTCAAGTAGGACATAAGGTTGACGGCGCCTACTTGATGAGCATCAAGAATGCCGAAATCTGTCAAGGGCTATCGAAGGGATTTCAGCAACCATATAAGTGGTATGTTCCGTCATGAAACTTGAAACACTACCTCATAGATACCGGTCATGTACTGGCTTGTTTGTTTGGCTGCGTTTTTCTGTTGCTCGGGAAACTGCGAAAACCAACACGTTTTATCGCTTTGCCGGTCCCCATTTTTTCTTACTCGCTGGACTACTAACCGAAACTTTCTTACCCTGTAATGTAATCGCATTGCTACCGTAGCATTCTGCAAATTACCCTCAGATGTCATCTTGTCGAGTCTGCAAGTGAATTCAAACTCACCTTGGAGAGCACAACCTCAGTTGGTTAGTATGGCGTAGGAACGGCTGCAAAATAGGCCAATGCCACCTAAGAACTGCCGACTCAGTCAGCCTCATCCAGCGCTCATCGTTTTGTTCGTTCCTTAGTACGCATTTTTTTAAAGCATTTTTCCGTTTTCTTCGACCCTGAACTAGCCGCGAAACATTTTTCGACCAAGAAGGGGTCATCCGTTCGGTGCCTTTTTTTGTCCATAAACTACCCTAGTCATGTTTAGATCACCTCGATGTTGAACAATATTCGTCAAGATAAGTTGAGTGCAAACAAGTGAAAGCACTCAACAGCATTGAGTGCATTTTCAAAATTTTAATTCTGGCTGGATCGGTTTTCTTCCAATCTATTGAGGGTATATTTTTCTGAGAGCATTGCATTTTAAAACATGTAATGTTATGGCATGTTAACGAACTCATGCTAAGACGATTCCCTCAGTGACGCTCTCTCAATAGTTTAGACCTTGGACAGGTTTCGTTGCTCACATCATGGATATATTTGATGCTCATTCCAAGTGAGAGCTGGCCTTACATTTATGAAGCGGCAGTGGGTAGCGCTCCTTCTCACAGTTGGTTAACCCACAGTATCTGATCTAACAGCTGTACCTGGAATCAAGCATTTTCAAATTCCGCCTGGTAGAAAGCCCACATTGGTTAGCCATAGGACTCCACAACTTCCCTAGCGTGAGTAACTTTGGACGGGAACCCCCTAGTAACTGTGTTAAAGTTCTGTCCAAGCGGAGTTTCGTCGGGGTACGTGATCTCTGAAACATTACCCATCAATGTCTTCGGAACACCGACTGACTGGGTGGACGTCCATAGTTTCAAAACTAGTTGAATGTGTAGTCCCATCGACACTGAATTTCGGCCAGTTTTCTGAAGAAACCCGCCAGATTGCTCACTAAAGGTCACTGCCCACATCGGATGCCATCCTAACGACTTTATATTCGATTTCTTGAAAAAAATAAAAACCGTGCTTTTGTTATTTCCTGGTTGTCTGGCGTTAAGGCTTCTACCGATGGATGCAACTAGCAGTTTGAGCTAACTTGTGAAGATCGACAAAATGCACTCTTTTGCAAGCAAATTTGGTTTTGCGAGAGACTCACTTGGAACATAGCTGAAACTCGCGATTTTATGATGTTTCCAGGCAACTGAATGTGCTGCACCAGACGGCCTTGTGTTTCATTTGGTGCGACAATCGAGAAATCGCGATACATGTGTATACGTAGTGCACTACTCATGAGGTTGCTGAAAATTGTTCAACAGCCCACGACCGGTTTCGCCCTTTTTGGCGCTCATCATGCAGGTAAAGTCCCCGAGTTTCCGTCAATCTGTTTTGCTTAATCTTTACTGAACTGAAGTCATAATTCTCAGCAGCTCTCCAGACGCTGATGAATATAACAACCGAATAATTTGATGTCAATGGCTGCGAAATGTGCACAACTCCGGAATTCCCTGGAGTGTACAAGGGCCCATGCACTGCGCTGTCTCATTCCATAGAGAAGAAACATTGCTGTACCGTGTTGAACTGTCCATTATGGCAATGCCTCACCTTCCATCCGGAGAAGATCTTCATTCTGGGAGAGTGAGGCTAAAACCAGACTCTTTGTGTGGGCATCCGGTCAAAGTGGATGCTATTTTTTAGCAGCTAATAGGAACAGCCCAACGTTTTAGCTCACTATCACTGATGACAGAGCTGTGGCCACCTCAAAAAGAGGTCACCGGAAACCGGTCGTCAGATATAGAAATAGACGGAACAGATTGCAGAACTTCCGCTAACAAGTAACATATAGACCATTGTGCTGCACGCAACTAGGACACAGTCCCCAAAACTTTTGCTGTCCTTATGAAACCAAATAACATAGACAAAGGGTTATGATTATCAAAGCAAAACTACTCTTGATCTAGTACAGAAACAAGACAGTGTCGTGGGGCTGCAATAAAGAAGCTGAGTATTAAGAAACGACCAATCATGACATCATTCAAACCCTCAAAACAATGAATTCAGAGTCTGAAGCGTGTCATTGTTTTCCTGACAGCTAGGGTAGCCCGTTTGAGTCGCGACCAAATGCAGACATGAAGGCAGCAAAATTTCTAAGCTAGCACTACGGAATCAAATCAGCCGCTTTTTTGCAACAGTATTGATGGCTCCCGAAAGTTTCGCAGAGAATAATCTTAGATTTTTTACTGTTCGAAGGTAGTGAATACACTGCCACATCGAATAAAGCTAGTTTATGAAGAGGGCGCCATGAAGCGGAGTCAGTCATTGTCTGCTTGTTAGACCGTACAACATGTGGACAGTCGTCTGTTGATGGATCACTACATGGTGCTTAGCCGCAGAGTTAATTTTCCAGATACAAGACTGTCAGCTCCAAAGGTCATTCGAGAATCAGCCACAAGTCCATTTCTGGTTTCCGCTGTCTAGTTATTGCAAGCGCTTTGATGGAACTGCTTAAAACATGTCTTAACTATGGCGAAATTTCTTCGCCTTTGAAAAGGTCACATTTAGGACGTCTGAGAAACTGCCCTTGTGTGAAGGATTTGGGCAAATTGCAGACAATCTACGTTCCATTAGAAATGATTCCTAAAGGATCGTCACAAGACACACTAATGGTTGAATCACAAAAGGTCAAGTGAGTGTGTAGAAAAAAGCGAATTTTTACGCTGGTAATGATCTTCCGATTTGAAATACTCGACCTGTTGACTAACTTTATGCAACTTCCACCTCCACACATGAATCTCGACTATAGCGAATTCTATCCGACCTTCCCTGTGCCTGTCTCCCGCCCAAATATATCTCAGTTTCTCTTAGGTGACTGACCACTGCCTTCTCCCGTGGTATAGTTTGATAAGTGTACGACTGCTCGAAAAGGCGAAGTTTTGAGTGACATCCCAAAAGGTTGTGAAGAAGTCACCCATCAAATAGTACGTAGTAACGCACGTACTGTTCGGACGCCGATTACTTCTCGATGTGATCGGACTAACCAGAAGCCTTGGCTTTGCGGGTGGTTAACCGTTTCTTTTTTGTTGTTTTGTGCTCTCGAATTTTCTCTACTTACTTTATGACTCATCAAGATAAAAGGGGAGGTGTTCGAGGGTTGTTGACTCTGTCTCATTTGAATTAACCAAACAAACACTTCGTCAAACTTTTCTAATAAAAATTTCCCGAACGGGGTGCCTTTTCGGCGTTTTCTGTCTCGCCATCAACACCGTCATTGTGGACACTCTAGTGAGCACTAAGTTGAGTGCCTTTAATCTCATTCCAAGCGACTTTTACGAGGCTTGTTTATGCCAGCAGAAATTTTATTCACAAGTTAATTTGTTTTTTTTTCAACAGCAGTCTACGCTCCTCACAGATTACGGGAACACCAACGAAACTGGTTTTGAATAACTAGATTTGCAGCGAACATAACGTAAATTCGTTGATTAACTCATACGTTATTTATTTATTTATTTATTCATTTATTTTTTCATATAAATATGCGTCATGTTTACATTTTACCCCTCTAGATCATCAGTAAAATATTGCTAACCTACTGTTTTTCATCCATTAATAATGCAATGCTTCTGATTGAGTGCTGTCGCCCGCATATTTTGGGCTTCCCCTAGAAACAGTGAATGGTTCTGGCACAGTGGCCTGAAAACTAGCATCAAACTGGGTAAGCTGAGCGCGATTGATTTCTTCCAACTACTCTTGCATTAAACTAGTTAGTTGCGTGACCGAATATAACCCTATTATCAGAGGCAAGAGAAT